GAAACTGAAAAAATATGGACAGACTAATCTGAAACAAATAGAAAAATAAGATCAGAACACACATAAATAAAATAGTATAGAAAATGATAGAGAAAAAACTCAAGGGGCCAGCGTGGTAGCTCAGTAGTTAAGAACACTGGCTGCTCTTCCAGAGGACCTTGGTTCAAGTCCTAGGACCCACATAGTGAATCAGAACTGTATTAATTCAATTTCCAGGTTATCCTGTGCTGCCTTCTGGTGTCTGTGAGCACTGCACACATGTACTGCACAGACATACATTCAGGCAAAACACCCATTTGTATAAAATAAAAATACTAAAAAAGAAAAACTCCAGCAAAACTAAAAGCTGTTTCTTTGAAAACATTAACAAGATTGATAAACTGCTGATTTAAAAAGAACAGACTTAATGAAATGGTGTGGGAAGTTCTTGTGTATATGTGTTCCTTTTATTAATAAATAAGTAAACTGTCTTGGGCCTATGCATGGCAGAATAGAGATAGGCAGAGAAAACTAAATTGAATGCTTGGAGAAAAAAGGCAGAGTAAGGGAGACACCATGGAACCGCCAGAGGAAAAAGACATGAGCAACTAGCCAGAACCTTGCCATAAGCCTTATGGTAAAATATAAAATAATAGAAATGGGTTAACCAAGGATGTAAGAGCTAGCTGGCAATATGCCTAAGTGAGTGGCCAGGCAGTTATTTACATAATATAGTTTCTGAATGGTCTGGGCAGCCAGGAACAGACAAGCATCCTTCAACTACAATGAAACATGAATGATAATGGGAGAATTACCTCCAACCTTATGGCAATAAGAGAGATTGCTTGGGAAATGTTATGGATACCTTCTTTGCTAAAAAGTAAATAACTCGATGGGTGAAATTTTTAGAAAAGCTGAAGTATCAAAAAAAATTTTATTGAAGAAACATATTTGAACCAGGTGGTGGTGGTGCACACCTTCAATCCTAGCACTCAGGAGGCAGAGGCAGGTACTTGGAGCTCTGTGCGTTCAAGACTAGCCCTGACTTCAGAGAGAGTTACAGGACAGTTAGGGCTGTTACACAGAGAAACCCTGTCTCAGAATAAAGGATATATTTGAATAGATCTGTATTGTGAGTTGAATTATGTCCCCCCAAAAGTTGTGATGAAAAAGAATAGTAACTGATGGTATTTATGAATGGGACTTTATTTGAAAATTAGACCTTTGAATTCTTAATATAGTCTAGTTAAAATGAAGTGATGGTTGTAAGTGTGGTCCATGAATTCAATGACGTGCTGTCTTTATAAGTAAGAATAGAGATTTGAAGGGACAAACAAACATACATAAAGATATTAGTGGAGATTTGATTTCATCATCGTGAGCCTGGGAATGCAAAGGTTGTCAGCAATCGCCAGAAGGTAGAAGCAAGTATGGAAGGACTTTAGAGACTTCAGAAAGGAGAGAACTCTGCAGACACCATTAATTTTGGACAAGTAGCCTCTAGGACTGTGAGAATAAATCTCTACTGTTAGAGCCTCATGTTATTATGTTAAAGTCGCCCTAGGAAATGAACACAACTTTAAACAAATGAAGAGATTAAATTGGCAGTTAAAAATAAAAAATTAAACACACCTGTTGACAGATGTTTCTTAGGAATATTCCACATTTCCCCCTTTTGTCTAAGGAAGGTTTTAACTTTAACGTAGTAAAATTATATACAACAAAGATAGTCATCAAGTAAGAGTTGCAGTTACAATATCTAGTTCATTTCTATCTGGCAAAATTAGAGAAAATATTCTGTTATATATTTTATTTTTGTGACTTTAAATTTTATACCAAATTTATTTTATAACTAAAGTAAACTTTAGCTGTGACAAGTCTTCAGCTTCATCAAAGACCCCAGAAGGGTGAAATATTACCTGGTGACAGAGACATTGGCTGCCTGGACATTCATCCTAAGTTTCCCTGTAATTTGGAGCATCCATCTTTGGCCCACAGATCTAGAATATATGACAGACTTAGCTCTGAAGCAGGAAATTTTGAAGGACTGTCTTACTTGTCTTGACAAAGTTTGTTAGTTGCTTTCTTTTGCATCCTCCTGGTTCAGTTAGGCTGGTATACTGTCAGCAATTGAGGCAAGGGCAGTTCTTTGCCCAGTGGCTAGCTTTTGCCATAAAGATAGCAAATTCCTTGATGCCCGTCATCTTTTCTGAAGTAGATTGATGCTGTCAGGAGCAGATGTGTCTTTCTTGCATAAAAAGCTTTAGGTCACTAAACATATGGAATATCATATTCTGTAGGTCTTTGAACTATTTGAAGACCATCTATTTATATCTGTGTATGACCTTGAAAACATACCTAATGTGACTATAAGTTTGACTATTATTGATGACTTTTAATCTGTATTTCTTAATTATGCGTTATATTTTTAATGGGCTGCATAAACAGTATCCCAAACAGGAGTAGGAAATATACATATACTATAACAAAATTAACTTCAGATTTCTATCAATATACACTGTGAAGTATTTAAGACTAGTAATTACTCTTTTAGTTTAAAAGTAAATTTAATAATCTAACTTTTTTTTTTCCAGAAAGGAAACACTGAATCTAATCTCCTTCATTCAGCTTTTTTTTTTCCTGACGGTTGCCAATAACAACTTGTAGCCAATCCCCCACTTAAATGATAATAAGCATCCATAACCCATCTTTTGGGGATGTGGGCATAGTTCTCCTGCTTACTTGTTGTTTGGGGGCTTTGGTAATTTTAAGGGGAAACTTGAGAAAATCAGGATAATTGTTAGGTCTTGGCTGTAGTATTCTGTAAGTTTGGATCATCTCATTTAGCAGCCTTGAAGCTGTTCTGGATGCTGGATCACCTCAGCAACCCATTTTTATTGGTATCTGGTCCTCTTACTCTGAAAATATATAAACTTTTAAAGGTAACATACAAATCTGTATTAATGCAAGTGTAGACTGTGTTGTACATAAGTTAGCCAAAGATGATTTTTTTGTTGTTGTTCTATGTTTTGAGCATGTAAAATATACATCACATGTCTTGTAGTTCTTCCAGGTTTATTTATGTTTATAGTCAGGATTTTCAGGGGGTCTTTCCCGATCAAACCTTTAATCTGGAATGAATCTGCAGCCTCTCATTTTCTGTGAC